TAATATTTCTACCACTGCCTCGGTACGCGGCTGCAAGTTCTTTTACTATTCTTTCTCCTTGATGTTTCTCTCGAACATTATCTGTTTTGCCTGTGTAAATGATGCCGTGCAAGGGATAGGCATTTTCAGCGTCGCAAATCCACCAAATCTTGATTCCATATTTGGCTGGTTTCGAAGGTATATACTGCGTAAACTTTGTGCGACCGCGAAAAGGATAAAGTTGTTCATCGATCGTTAAATTCTCCGTCGGCTTGTACATCTTAGATAAATTTGCGTTGAGCATTGTCCAGAGATCACGGATCGGAGCTGCTTTGTCTTCTTTTGCGCGTTGCTGGCGTGTATTGGCGTCGTCAAATCTAATAAAACGCATGATGTTTCGAAACCTATTGAGCCCCATTGTCGCTCGATAGAGTGGATATGAATTTGAATGCCACATAACACTTGTATGATCGATGTTAGAATTATTAACACCAGAGCAAATCAAAATGGCCATGAATGAGTACATTTCTTGTACAGTAACATGCTTCCATTCTCGCTTCGAATCTGGATGCGCTGCATTGAATGCTGCGTAGACTGACAAAGCCTTTTTATTTGTATGTCGAACGATAATATCTACCATATCTACTGTGAATATTTTCTTGAAAGTGTCGCTTATTGAAAGTGTTGTGGTACTTCGATGAGGACCACTTTGCTGACGCACTACATTATGAGATGCAGTTTGATGTTGATGAAGCGGCGTTTTATTCCATACCGTTTTATCTTTCGCTATGTAAGCGCATAGTGTTTCCCCTACTGCTGCTTGATTCTCTCTCTCACTTTTACTTTCTCCTTCCTCTCCCTCTTCTTCGTCATCTAAGCATATTAGACCAAACTAAATATTAGTTATGATTTTTTATTTCGCGCGGCAACAATTTATAACAATTTTATATACCTTCTTCGGAAGGTGCATCAATTTCTTGAGCAACTGGTATTTCTTGATTATCTACACCAGATTCATCGCTATCAAGAGCCTCACGCTCAGGCAAAATTTCATTTGGTAACCAGTCGTCATCGCTGTCACACGCTTCGTCTGACTCGTCATCATCGTCTCCTAATATCGCGTTCAAATAAGCTTCTTTTTCCGTTTGATTCAATCTAAGATAAAATTCATGCATTATTCATTTTTTCAATAAAATAACAGAAAGAAATTAGAATTTTTAAATAAAGCACTGAAAAAAAACCATTGATGTACATTTTGTTTTACCTTGCAAATTCAGTCCTCGATAATTCCTCCATGTCTCTACAGTATATTGCGTAGGCTAGCCAAACGGTTCCGTTAACTGTAGCACGTCTGTGCGTGCGAAGAACACGATTCGCACTGACTCACATCTATTCAGACCCTTCTTTAGATGTAAGGAGGGGAACTTTTTGTTTGCTTTTAAAACTCCAAACAGCTGACTGCCTGGCAGCCTTAGTAACCGCGCGCTACCTGCGTCGACTTCAAAAATCCTGTTTTCTCTTACCTTTGTACGAGCTACAGCAGGCCAATTTATTTACAAATGCTTCGGCCTCTCATTTTTTATGTTTATTTACTGAGATAAACGTTAAGGAAACCATTTCAATTGCATAAATATTGAAAAAATTGAAAGAATGAGAGGTGGGCACCGGGGTACCCGGGTGCGTCCGAACGTTGGTAAAGTTGGGTGCGTACACAAGGGTTAAGTTAAGGTTAAATACAAATTAATTACAATTAAGCAGAAGAACACGAGAGAAAATTAAATTTTTATATTATATTATAAAATTATAGAGCAACGTAGAAAGACAATAAGTCTTTCCGCAGAAGTAAATATAATTTCAGACAGGAGAACGCATTTCCAAGTTCAGCAAATATTGCAATAAAGTCCCTCTAAAATCAGGTAAGAAAAGAGCGTTAACTAATTCCTCTGGTAAGAAATTCCAGAGATAGGCAGATTGTACTGTAAAAGAACGTTTATAAATCTCAGAATGACATGGGGATATAAACAATTTGCTAGAAGGAGCACGCATAGATCTCCCAGACAGAGGCGCTCTCATGCACCGATAGAGATACGAGGGCGAGCAAAATAGAGTAGGTAAGGCAGTCCATGAGAAAAACACGTCTGTGCTGAACCGAAAGCCATTTAGCGCTCAATCTGGAGGGAATAACATGACTGTCCCAACGTAGACGGTAAACAAAACGAACACATGAATTAAAAGAACGCTGCAATCTTATGTTGAGTTAACATTTATATTATGTTGACATTTATATTAGTCAAAATTCTCGAGAAATTAGTTTTCAAACAACTCTGTCATCATCTAAACACTTACAATTTACTCGATCCTATGCAAACCGGTTATAGGGCTGGAAACAATACTCAAACCGCTCTACTCTGTTTAACTGATGATATCCGGCGTGCGTGCGATGAGCGTAAAGTAACTTTACTAGTACTTTTCGATTTCAGTCGTGCCTTCGACACTGTCGATCATCACCTACTTCTTCAGAAACTCTATCTAACCCGCAGTTAGATAGAGTTAAATCGCAGTAAACAGAGGAGCAATAATCAAAAAACGGAAAAATAAGCACCGTGACTAAGCGGCGACACAAATTTTAATTAAACAAATCACGGTTTAGTTTAAGTTGATAAAGGGCTCTATTAACTTTAGAGCAGACATAGTCAACATGCGCCGACCAACTGAGTGTAGAGGATAAAGTGATACCGAGTGTTTTAATTGAATTTTCGTAATGTAAGAAAGAATTACCACAGCATACGTAAATTATTGAGATCCAAATGTCTAAAGTATTGACCGCTTGATATACAGATCGTTTTACCGACATTTTACCGACATTTACCGAGTTTTACCGACATTTAACGAGAGTTTGTTAATTTGGGCCCAATCACTAATCGCATTAACGTCATGAGAGATCAGCTCAACACCTCGCCGAAGGTCAGACGGTTCACAGTGCAGATATATCTGCAAATCTTCTGCATACAGAAATAACACTGGAGATATCATTGATGAATAAGGAAAATAAAAGAGGACCCAGCACACTGCCCTGAGGAACTCCAGTGAAGACAGGCAACCATGAGGAATGTACGCCCGCAGTACCCATCACAGCCTGGGATCTCCTACTAAGATAAGAGGCAAACCAGGAAACGATATTCGAGGAGAGGCTGAAAGTACCTAGTTTCTGAAGAAGTAGGTGATGATCGACAGTGTCGAAGGCACGACTGAAATCGAAAAGTACTAGTAAAGTTACTTTACGCTCATCGCACGCACGCCGGATATCATCAGTTAAACAGAGTAGAGCGGTTTGAGTATTGTTTCCAGCCCTATAACCGGTTTGCATAGGATCGAGTAAATTGTAAGTGTTTAGATGATGACAGAGTTGTTTGAAAACTAATTTCTCGAGAATTTTGGATAAATCATACTAAGTATGATATAAAATAGGACGAAAATCAGACAGTTGCGACGGGTGAGATTTCTTTTGTATCGGTACAACAAAGGATTTCTTTCACTGATCCGGAAAAACAGAAAATGATAGCGAGTGATTGAAAAGATCAACAATAAAAGGAAGGATGAAAGGTAAACATAGTATCAGTTGGCGTAGTGATATCTGAACCCTTGGCATTAGAAGTAAAAGTAGAAAAGCAATTCATCATCTCCTTAGGCAAAATATGTTGAAAGGTATGGTCAAGATCAAGAGAGGGAGCAGGATGAAACAAAATAGTGCTAGAGACAGAGGAAGACAACAGAGCAGAGACAAAATGCACATTCAGGGTTTCAGGATCGAAAGATACAGCACAACCCGAGCGAGGAGAGAGATGTCCCAAGCGACGAAGCTTTTTCCAGAATTGCGCCGGCTGCTTAAGAGAATTTAACTTAGTGGCAATGTGCTGGGATCGAGCAGAGCGAATAGCAGATTGAGCAAGATTTCTAGCGCGACGGTATTGATCATAAACTGTGATGTTACGAGTACAGAGAAATAATTTATGCAGATTATTCCTAGCGCGAATAAGAGATTTTATATTAGTAGTAAACCACGGAGCAGCACGCCTCCGAAGGTGTACACATCGTAACAAAGCCAATTTATTATACGCTCCATTTATACATTTGTTCATGAAGAATACCTTCTCTGATATATCGGCAACACTATAAAATGTATCCCATTTGACCAAGTTAAGCTCACAAAATAGCATGGCAGAGTCGATGCTAGTAATCACGGTATTCATAAAAAGACGCAACATACGAACATATCTTTAACTTGTAATTAATGTGAATAAAATCATGACTAGAGAGAAATGAAATTGGCAGCTGACCCGACCCTACCACACTGTCAGGCAAACTGACAGCACAAACATCAAGGCAAGTATCAGAAGTCGCAGTATAGTGAGTAGCCTGGGATGATATCACAGATAGTTCCAGACGTCGAAACAATCCCACAAGCTGCTGAGCCTCAAAATCATCACGTAACAGATCTGTATTGAAGTCACCAATAAGTATGGCGTGGATGTACTTGGAAGCATGAAGTGATCACTCCCTTTCAAATTCATCTCCAAAACCGACCTTAGAAGGTCGGTACATGACTTCCAGTAGTAACGAGGCAGCCATGGAAAATGAGAGTTCCACGAGCAGAAATTCATGGCGATGACGATACTCATTGCACGAAGAAACGATGTGACGAACTGAAATAGATTTGTGATAATAGATAGCAACTCTCCCACCCCCTCGGCCGTATTGATCATACCTTAGGACGTTATAGTTTTCTAGTGAAATTATATTATTCAAGACATTGTCTTTGAGCCAGGTCTCGGAAATTGCAATAATATCATACTTCTCAGTGCGAAAATAAACAAATGAACTCATGAAAATGTGCAAGCAGAGATTGCGCGTTAACATGGCACACACTAAGATAGGACATAAGTTCCCCTTCCCCTGAACGCAAAGTGCAATCACATCGCGACCATCAAGACTCCGAACGATAAGTAGGCGAATCCTCAAGGTCCCTTAATGAGCGGATCCAAATTAGGCCAGAAACATCATCCCGTTGAACATATACCGCTCCTCCTCTGGTCCAAGCACGATGTCCAGACCCCAGCCACAACAGAAGCACAGGCATCACGTAGCAAGCGTCGAGTCGCCGGAGAGAGACCTTCATTAATATAAATCCTCACAGGCTCAGGACTGATTGTACGAAGGCCATCAATATCATCAGAAGTAAGAACACCTCTTTTACGCTTAAGTTGGATGAAGTTGCTGCGCAAAGGCCCATTAGCAAGAGTCACCAACAATCCTCTAGGTCGACCACTGTGGACAGGAACAGGACCTACCATCAGTGCAGTAGCAATGTCAGTCAAAGCCAAGTCAAGACGGAGCGCAGCACCCAACTGACCAATCAATGAACGAGGATCCTCATTAGGCAATTCAGGTACGCTTGAGATCAACAGATCGGCATCGCAAGCTCGACGCTTCAGATATTCAACCCGACCCGACACTGTTATAAGTTGCTCCTTTAAGATAGAGTTTTCACCGCGGAGGGCCTCACATTCCTCAATAAGAGCTGCGTTTGCAGTGGTAAGTGCTTTGAGCGCGTCACTGTGTTCGTTCAGCTTACTCATTATCTTATCATTTAACGCAATAAGAAGAGCGGTATTTCGCTCCACCGCAGAAAAAATGTGCTCGCACGTAGTCTCCGTCTCAAACCGCCCCACAACCACCGGAGTAAGCAAAGATGCATCCAAGAAACCTAACCATCCTAACCTTCAGGTTCAACACAGGCTGCAACATCAAGTGATGGCTGGACGACCGACTCACCAATAGAAGAAGGACGCACAGTGCGGATAGCGCGGGATCTACAGTAGAACGGAGCAGAAAATCCATCAGCATCGTTCAGTTTCACATCATAGGTCTTTTGAATGCACTTAGTGTGCATAGTCTTACGACGTTGCCCAAGACAGGAAGGCTCAGTCGCCGACGCGAATCTGTTACATATTCCACACCTCACCGACATTGCACAGCAGCAGCAATATACGCTCTACCGAACTAATGATAAGAAGATTACCGGCAACAATTACCGGCAATCATTATCGACCGTTCAAGGAAAGAAACACAGCATCCAAAACCGTATTTCGCACTAAAGTGTCTTCGTGTAGATGGTGATACAGTAGATAGCGAATGAGACTGCAAAACCGTATATCGCACTAAAGTGACTTCGTGTAGATGGAGAAACAGTAGACAGCAGATGAGACTGCAAAATCTACCGCGCAGATAAATTACTAAGTCCGTGCAATCCACACTCACAAGTACAGAAAGAACACCAGCAAGTTACTCCCCCCGCTCAAAAACATGCACTAGAGGGCACTAATAATACTCCATACTTAAACAGTTGATAAATAGAAAAATATTTTAAAAGTAGAAGTAATATGCCCAAAAAAAAAAAATTAAAGACCAACAGAGCACGTCTGTTCAGAGTCAGAGACTTGACAGAGAGCATAGAGGGGCTGTACATATTGGCTGTATATATTCACTTTACTGGCCTGTGACGTGACGATTTTTGAAGATCGTCCGTCACTGAGGGTTACTAAGGAAGCAGGAATGCGCTTCCAAGCTGAAGGGTGGGTGTCG